ATAATTCAAACACAATCAAGACTCAGAGATATCCCTCTAATCACAGCATTCCATACGTGTTTCTTTCAGGATTGGTAGGTTTAGGATTAACTCCTTCCCTTGAGAAACATGTCCATATTCCAAATAATCTCTTGTGAAATGGATAGTGCCTCAAGACGGTCTCTCCACAAAGAACGGCTGTAGTTGTGTCCTCATGTCAGTAGCCTGAAATGTGTAACAGACACTTACCATGCATAAACACACTCATCCTTCGCTAACCACCATCTCAAATGTTCATTGTTTCCACCTTCAGTCACTAAAGGCCTACTTAAATTGTGCCTCTTCCCTTCTCAGCAGGATGAATTCATCCATGAAGCTGCTTCCATTCTCCCCACCCTCCAGTTCAAGAAGGCCTACCAATAATTAACACAGAAGAGAAAGAGAAAAGGGGGCCCAGCAGCAGCTTGTCTTGAGCTTTTGCAAGCATTGGCCAAGCAGGTGGAGCCAAGGTTAAGAGCTCAGCACTCCCACTGGGGGCCATGCAATAGATGAATGCCTTGTGACTATCAAAAGGCTCCGAAAATTATGACAGAATCAGGCAGCGGCTTTCAGTGAGAAGGAGCCCTTCACTCCCAAAACCCACTACATTCCACTCCCCATTTCACTGCTGCCTCCATTTCACTTGTGATTTATGGCAGCTTTGCAGTCCAATCTGGACGTCTGCACAACTTCAGTCACATGTACTGGTTGTTACTATAGGAACCACAGAGGTCAGGCCATGACGGAACAGTTAAAGGCGACTTACCCTGTCATCGCTCTTGTGCATGAACGTGCATAAGCAGAAGTGATGGGAGCTGTGAAGGCCATCCTGGCTAACACGCTAACACCCAAGCCAATCCCAGACGTGCTGTGACAGGGCAAGATGAAGAGGAGCTCTGCTTTGACAGGGAATCACTCAGCCAGGATGGGTATCATTTACAATGAAAACCCCCGTCCTCAATGTAGAGTCCAGATGGAATCTTCAAAGGGCTGACCCCATTAAAGCCTAAGATTTCTACCAAAACGTAGGCAACAGATGGATAACAATAGGGATTCATTCACTGACATACAGCAAGGCAACAATCACAATGCCCAAGTGTAACTTAGACATCAAGCTCCCTGCTGCCCTACTGCACTGCTTCTGTCCTCCTGCCTAACGGGGGTAAAATCACAACTCCTGTTAGGTTTTAGAAGCCAGCTCTCCATTTGACAAGAAATTACCAGTAGTCTTAATAGCCAAAATTATGGAAACTCTATAAGCTTTGCCTACTTCATTTGCACTGAATCAGGCAGTTCTACTCCTTCATTACATTTGACAGGGCAAAAATAAAAAGGGACTGTCCCACACCAAAATCTGATATACATGGCGTGAGTGATCCTGCAGAGGAATACTGATGAGAAAGGGAAAGAACTGTGAAAGAAAGAAATGCGTGCACACATACGCACCATGGAAATGTGAACTTGCCCGCATAGGAAGAAGGATTGGAATGAGGCAGAGAGCAAGTACCAACATTCTCCCAGTACCTATTAATCTGTGTTAGCCGGAGACAAAGGCTTCCCTTAGATACCGGAACAGTCTCTTTCCACACCAGCAAAATCTATAGTCCCGCTCTGTCTCCAGAATAGACACCTCCATTATTCACCTTGTGGTGCTGTCTCACCCCTCCCCTCTCCTTCCAGTGGGGGACAATGTAGAAGTAATTCTGCCAGTAGAAAAGCCCAAATTAATTCGTGTTCCTGCCTCTAAACTGACACAATGACCCTGACAAGAGGACTCTCTCAAGAATTTGGGCCTCCCATCTAATTTCCATCTCAATGACACAGCTTTTCAGCACTACCCCCAACCCCTTCCCTGCAGGAGTCCTCAGGGCTCAGTCACTTGCAAAGGATCTTAGCTCTCCTCCCTTCTAATGTAAAGACAATGGGGTCAGAGGTGAGGGATGGGGTCCTAGGAATTTGTTCCCAGAAAAACTGAGGCAAACCATTTTGCTTGGTTACACCAAAAATCCAATAGGCCAGACACAGAGCAAGAGCAACAACAGGGCAAAGCTGCCTCTTCTATTGATTTTGCTTCGCAAACCACGCTTTACATAAATGTATTCAAGTATTTGGGTTCACTGATGGAGAGTGGACCCATAACCCACAGTAAACCCGTAACCCACAGTAGTCAGTGTTTACTAAGAAGACAGAAGAGGTCTTCTTAGTAAACACTTAGTAAGAGGACACAAGAGGTTATCTCTGTGTGTGTGTTTAAATGTCACTGTTTTGCTGAGAAGGGAAACAGAGCTGTCAAGGCCTGTTATACTATAGCATCTCAAGGGATCTAGGACCCAGTGGAACAGCAGGCCCGTTTCTCACACCCAGGTTGATGAGTTCCTACCACCTGGACCTGATGAAGCAAGCTCGCTTATGATTTATAGATCTGCCTCCGGACATTGAGAATTGGGATCCCACAATAATAATGACCAGAATGAAGACAAAGTCGAGAAGATACACTACCAACCATGCTGTCAGACTAAGTACAGAGTTTCGCTAGGGGCCTAAGTGAGCAGCAGGATCAAAGATCCAATCTTAAGTCAAGGAAGCACATTTTTTTATTCCTAGTAATGCAATTTGACCAATAGTTAAACACAGCATGGACTAGAAAGTAGCACAAGCTGCAGTGATTCCTGACTTTTGCCAGAGGTTGGAGTTATTATATTCAGAGGATCAGGATTGTTGGTTGAGCTTGATGACAGACAGGTATCATTAATTACTGCTAGTTTAGCACAACACTGCTTCCTGGCAAGAAGCAGCAAACAGCAAAGCACAGAAATGCACAAACTGGCAAAGGAGCAAGTAGGATAAAAACAGTAGCTGGGACTAGTGACGACGGAGAAAAGCCAAGGTTCTCAACACCTTTCAGAAAAATCAACTCATATGATTAGGGTTTGCTCTCAATTAAATAGTATTTTGCAGAGGCCAAATATTTCATAGAAACATAGATACAGGGCGAGTCAGAAGGGGTCTCCTGGAACATCTAGTCTGACCCCCGGCTCCAGCCGACTCCGCTCATGACATGCCCACCATGTGCATGTCCAGGCTATCTTTGAACACCCGCACCAATGGGGCCTCAACAACCTCTCGTGGAAGCCCATTCCATACCCTCGGGGTCCTAGCTGTCAGTAAGTGCTTCCTGGCATCCAAATGGAACCTTGGCTCTGGGAGCTTTGCTCTATTGGAACACATCCTGCCTTCCTCTGCAGGGGAAAACAGGTCTCTACCCACCTCCATGTGACATCCCCTCATATACCTGTATGTTGCCAACATATCCCCTCTGAGTCTCCTCTTCTCCAGGCTGAAGAGACCCAGTTCCCTCAGCCTCGCCTCATACAGCATCCCCTGCAAACCCTTCCAGTTCCTGCTATGCACAGGAACTGAAACCCTCCAAACCTTACGTACCACCTACAGTTTCAGCTAAAAATTGGAATTCAGAACCTGACCCTAAATCATTAATTCAGAGACGCTCAAACTTAAATATTTAGGAAAATTTTTCCCACTCAACCTCACAGTTAATGTGGGCACAGTGCTATTCCATTCTTCCATCACAGGGCCTAAGACAATAAATATCAATATTCTTGTAACTTAGATTTCACTCCATTGCCCATATAAGACAATCCACATTTCATTATCTTTACCTTTCCACTTGCCTTCCAAATTCTGGACTCCAGCATTATTTTTAATCCCTCTATACCAACAACATTCTACATGGTTCATCCTAATTGGGTACATTCGTGCTGGCAGGTGTGAAGACATCACAGTTCCAGGAAGAGAGAGACAGAGAGAGAGAGAGCACTAACTCTTTTTTTCTTTCCATTTTGACTGAATGGGCTAGGCTTGTACACTCTTGTCAAAGGCCTCTTTATGAAAATATGGAAGCTAGGAGACAAACCCATCCGTTTCCTTTTGGTCCAAAATGGCATTAGTCCAGCCTTCCCGAACCTAATGCCCATTAGATGCTTTGGACTTCAGCTCCCATCAGCCCAGCATGACCATTGGTCAGGAGTGCCTGAAACTGTTCATCCAAAATACCTGAAGGGGACCAGATTGGAGAAAGCTGCGTAAGTCCCTTGAGAGACACATTATCCACTCCCATCATGCATGTTTCCAACTGCTGGCTCCTAATTATTTAGCTTTGGTAGTTATTTAGCTCCCATCCCCTGCATAGTCATATCAATGGGAGGGATAAGCACTCATAGGTGTTGACTGCACTGTTTTTACACTGCTGGAATCCCTGAGAAATGCCACACTTCCTTTGACAGCAAGGCTAAGTATTTGTGCGAAGCCCAACAGACAGTGTTACCTTCTGCCTCCACCCATCTGCTCCAGCAGCAAGTGCTGGCTGCAGAACAGAGGTTAGGCATATCTCAGCCTGTAGACTGAGGAACCAGAGCCACAGAGCTGCCAGCTCAGAGCTTTCAGGGAGGGTGGAGGGGATACATCAGGGCTTGCTTTTGCTTCTCGTGCTGAGTCTAAAGCTGGCTGGCAGCCAAAAGCGGGGGCCTGTTTTCCTCATTTTATTTACCTGGCTACATTGCAATATGTATGGAACAGTTTCAAACAAAAGAGATTGCCCATGAAACACAGGGGACCTAAGGAAAGAACTATAGTTACGCAATTGCTCTGGCACGCCATCAATTCATACCAACATCCGTGAAAGCCACAACATGCAGACAGCAATTGCAAAGGGGGATGAAGGTGGAGTCTCAGTTGACTCTCTAAAGCTACAGTGGACCAGTATCAGAATAGAGCAATGCCTCAGCACCTTCTGGTTGCTACCAAACAAATATGAACTGCCATGCAGCACACACAGTCTCTCACTCTTCAATGCCATGTTTCAGCTCTTTTTTTAAAGAACACACACAAAAAGATAAAAGAAGCGCTTCTAACCTGAAAAAGACAGAGGTATTGCCAAGCCATTTCTGGAGCCTATGCATACCTACCTCCCCACTCAGAGATGTATCACTTTTCAGACTCTGTTGTAAAGGGTATTTTCAACTTGGGAATGACACGTGGGAGCAGATGTTATAACCTAAACATATATCTGACAGAGAGAGCAGCCAGCCCTGAGTTTCAGTCTCAGCAGAACATCTCTGAAAAGCACTGAGCCATGCACCTCTGTCCTGAGCTGGCAGGCAGCAGTGCACACACAGGCTCTTCCTCCCCGCCAGCCAGGAGCCTCTAGAGGGGCAGGCTTTACAGGAGGGGGGAGGCTGCAATCCTGCTCGGAAAAGGTCTTTATTTGGGCTCATGTGTGGAAGGACAGTTGGCTGCCATCTCATTCCATCCTGTCCCCTCTGCTACACACAAGCCTCCTCCTTTCAGAGGCCAATGGTTAATGATAGATCTGTAATTGTTTCCTGCAACAATGAAACATCCTGTTTGGAACTGGCCAGCTCAACAAAGCCAGATGCTGACAAAGAGAACACACGCTCCCTTTCCCAGCCAGTGGCGAGGAGAAAGGATATTCGGCCAGGCTGAACTCTTGCTTGCTTCCTTACTCGCTGACTCCTGCTTCTCCCTCCCCGGCTTAACACACCAAAGCTACCAGCCCCCACCTTTATTAAAAGGACCTGCACTTAAACTGCTCCCGAGGGCTTGGGGGTGCTGCTGAGAAGTATTTGATGGATTTGCTTTGGCAACACTTGGCTACCTTGTCTTGCCATTAACATTATTGCTATTGAATGAAGGAAATGAGTAAGAGATACAGAGACAAACAGCCAAACACATGGGGCCTGAAAATACAGGATACCCTCTGTGGGAGCTAGCTGCCTTCTAAGCCCAAAAAGCCGGGGAGCCTGGAGAGGCTGCAAAAAGAGCATAAGAGGGAGTGAGGGGTGTGAAGGAGAGAAACCAGATAAGGCACAAAAAGAACCCAGAGAATGAGAACAAAAGGCTCTTGTACAGCTCAAGACAGCTGATTTAGCAACCTCCTTGTTTGATGGGTCCAGCTCTCCTTTGCTGGCTACAGAGAATAAGCCCTGGGGCTCTGGTGGGAAGCTCCCTCCACATGACAAGCATATGACATTCCAGACTGAGAGCACAGCAGGTCAGCTCAGCACCCTCAAGTCAAACACTCAGCATCAGCAGGGAAAGGGCCAGCTGTTAACTGGTTCCAATCCATTTCTCTGGGATGCAAAGAAAGAGAGAGAGAGAGAAATCTCATACCCAGAAGTGCTGTCCCCACATGAGAGGCAAGAACAGGACAAGGGAAAACAGTGTCAATTCACATGTCACTGCTAAAAGAAAAGCTGTGCTGCTTCTGCACGTCTAGGGAAAGGGGTATGGCCTTATTTGGCCGTTATTTGAAGATACTGCTTAAGAAGATACTGCTACTATGGTGAGTGACTCCACCAGGCTATGCAAAGGGAAGTGATGGCTGAGATTGAACCCTGTCATTATACTCATCTTTCCCACACATCTCAAAGACTACATTCTGAGACTATTAGGTTGTGATTAGTCTGTTGACAGCGGTTAGAAATATGTGTATGCCTGCCATCTTCATAGAATTTGATTCAAGTGGAGCTGCTTCAAAATTCTTAGAATTCCATCCTCTCTAATTTAAAGATAAGTTCCTAGTCCTTATGGTTGTGGATTAAAAAAGAAAACTGGACACATCATGGCAGCTTCTGCAAACATCAAAAAATCTCATGGGTTACACCACAAAATACTTTGTATCAAGCCCCACAGTGTCTCTTTATTTATGTATTTAAAATATTTCTAGGCTGCCTGTCAGGACAGAAGTCCTCCTATGTTATTTCATATGCTACAACTTCCATCAATTGTCCAATGTACTGCCTTCAATTTCCCCCATTGGTTCCTCCAAGTCATTGATAATACTCGTAAAATTCTGCAGGTAAAATTGTACCACTATACTGCAATAACCTTGCAGTACAGAATTTAATTTTCTGATTGCAGAATATAATTTATTTATTTTAAAGCTACCTACTTGTAAGAAGAAATATCAAGTCACCCACCCACTGGTTAAGTGCAGCACATCACAGGCACACTTGTCAATCCTGTCAACAGGGCCACAAGCAGTAAATGGGATTACAGACAAGAGCAAAGAGCTTGGAGTGTCACGAGCTCACTGTGACTGATTGAGAGGCATTGCAAGAGGTTGGAAAGGACGAGCTACAAGGGTGGGAGTGACAGGAAGCCAAGGTCACAAGCCTTTGCAGAACTGTGAATAAGTGAGGCTGAAGGGTTTAGAACAGCTTGGCCTAAGAATGAACAACAATAGACAGAACCAATGTAAGCTGCATCCTGGACACCACTATCAGAAGACTGACAAAAAAGTGACACAAGGGGCAAATTACTGCCTTACACTGACTAGCAAACACATTTCCAGCCCCTCTGCCTCTAAAGCACAGTTATATTGCCATTTGCGAGACCTCACAGGGCACATCAAGGCATAATCACATGAGAAGTTAAGACTTTACAAGCCCAACATGATCTCACATACTTAGCCAAAGCAAGAAGATTTGCAGCCAGAAGCTCCTTAAACAGCCTCAACTCTAAGCACTGAGACACATGACAGCCTAAGAATCATTCCTATTTCAAAATGAACAGCACAAGCAGCTTGTTGCCACTTCTTCCCAGAATTATTTCTGATCCATTGGCTCCAGTATCCACCAGGTGGGGGACAGGTGGGAGTTGAAGAAGATAAATCCCCAAGATTCCTTGAAAACTTGAAAATGCACAGCGCTCTCAAAACTTTATGATTCCCCAGACGAGCTAGACTTTTTTCAGAAACTGGTTCTTCTCTTGGGGAACTGAAACAAACTGGATGTATATTCCAGCTGCTGAAGAGATCTTCCCCAGCTTTTCCAGCTCTTCCTTCAATGTCCACTATTGCCTTGCTCCTAAGATGTGTCTAATTCATCATGGAGGCCTTGTCTACTCATTGCAAATCACCTCCTAGGGATTTCCTTGGGAATATCAAGGTTATCTTGTGGTACATCTGTGTAGTAGGTTACTTCTGTTCATTTTGATGCGATTCTGGTTCTCTTTCCTTAAAACATATTGACCATACTTCAGCTTCTTTCAAATCTAACCCACATTTTCTTTTCACCCTCAGCTCACCCTTATGCTACAGGCCGGTAGGTGTTCGGGCAAAATCGGATGTCCTCTGTTACGCTCTTTTAAGAACACTTCATGAAAAAAATATTACAGTGTGACACAGAGGGTCTTCAAAGTCAGACCTGCGGGCATAGGTTAAAAGTTGGCCTCATTTCATTACAGACATGGGGAGAGAAGGCTATTAATTCTTATACTCCAGTTTATCAGCAGGAGTGATGAACAAAGAGGCAGAGTGTAACCAGGGCAGGATAGTCCACTTAACACTGAGAGCTTGTTTATTTTATTGTTGTTGTTATTAAAGAAGATGAGCCAACAAAAACAGGAATGAGACCAGATCAGCTGTGGCTTCCCTGGGAGAGAATAAACAAGCTGAAGAGGGCGAGAACTCCAGTGGAGACCTGCAGATTCTGAAGACCTCCCTAATGCCCTTGCAGCAGGAGCCATCTGGTTTTGGGAGACAAGCTGGGTTAGGGGAATTACAGTGGAGACTGGACAGGCAAGCACAGACAACAAAACATTCCCCCAAATTCCATGGCTAATCTCTCTTCCTGACACAAGCAAGGGAAGGTGTGTGTATTCTCCCAAAGCCGGAACTGTCCTAGGCTCAGAATCCTTTTTAAACATTTCCTTTAACTTCTTTTATTACTAGGAAAATGGTAACCCTTTGTGCAGTTAAGAGAAAGATAACTGAAATTTAACAAGGAAAGGAAGTCTTCAGAGGAGAAACAAAACAAAACAAAAAACCAAACAAAACAGAAGAAGGTCAAAGAACAAGAAGTCAAACTGAATTTGAACTTAAAAGCAGACCTCCCCACCACAGGTCAGAACAACATCAATCCTTATTTGGGAGCTTTTCTGCTGAACAAACCCAAAACCCAATAAATTGAAAAAGGAGCTTTTAAATACTGACAGGGTGATGTCCACCTAGCCCAACAATCCAGAATAAACTCTTTGCACCTGAAACCAAAATCAGGAGGTTATTATTATATACTTTGGTTACCTCTGCCTTTTTGTTTCTTTCAAAGCATGGGAAGCAGTCAGAATGGAAAACTACTATCTTCTCTCATAATAGGTATTTTTGGGATGTGAGAGGGCAGTATTTACATTCTGTCCTGTAATTTATGATGTTTTTACTGTTATCTGTATTTTATACTGTATCTTTATTGTATCCTATGTGCTTTTGTAATTGCCCGGAGAGCTTCAAGCTATTGGTCAGTACAGAAATACCTGTAAGAATAAATATTTTTCAAATTGTATTTCACACCCAGATTTGCAGTTGATCAAGTTATTCAAAATCATAGCTTGTAGGCAGTAGCATACTTGAAGAACTCGTACTCTCACTATGCTTCTGGTTTAACCTTAGGGGTTCAAAGAACCTGGGTAAGAAACCAATAGAGAAGCAAATTTTAGTATCTTTCCCTGTCATGGCAACCCAAACATCACTGCTTGTGTGATGTAAAGTGGGCATGTGCTTGTGCATGCTTGCTAGAGACCAGGCTAGCAGTGGCTGCACAAACACTTTTCAGTGTGTAGCTGAAATACCTCTTTGTCCTGGTGCAAAAATCATTCCAAAATAATGTGCATGCACTTCACCCTTGCACCATGGGGAGTGCCACAAACGTACACAATCTTTAATATAAAGTCTACCTACTTTCTTAGATGTACCAGAGCATTAAAGGGGGCCTTGGCTAAGATTGCACTGTCTGTAGCTTGCTGAAAAGGAGAACCTGATCTTATGACCCTGAATCCTTTGGTTGAACATGTCTATTCTCTGTGTTCTCTGAAAAAAAAATATAAAGCACTCATTCCCTAAAATAAGAAAGTAATCCTAATCAACAGAAAGGAATAGCTGAAGACTTATACCAGGAACATCTACCACACCCCATGTCTCAAATAATGTTATGGAACTTGTATCTGCCACTGCCGCCGCCGGACCTGAGGCACACCGCTGAGCCGGGGGCCAGCTGACGCTGCTCCCGCGGCCACCGCTGGGCCACCCCAGGCACGGAGGACGCCAGGGCCATGCCAGGGCCGCCGTCGATGGTGCAGAGGAGGGCGCTGCCATCTCGCCACCAGGCGGGTTTCCGCTCCCCTCTCTGCTCCCCCCCCACCGGTGTTGGTGAGAGCAACGCCAGATTGGGGCGGGGCGCACGGGTGGGCGCCGGCTTAACCCGCCGGACGCAGCCTGGGGCCAACGGCCAAAGGGCGATGGCCAAAGGGCGGTCACCGCCGTTTGTGGCCGTGCGGGGCTGGGCTGGCGGGGGGCTAGGTCGGTGGGTGGAATTTTGTATCGGGGGGGTAGATGGGGAGTTTTTTTACTGTTTTAAAGTTTTATTGTATTTTAATTTGTTTTTATGGAGTCGTCCTTGGCTATGTCAACGGTTGAGTTTCCTGGGGAGCGCATGGATGCTGCCATTGGGGTGGTCACGGGCAATGGACATTACAGTGGTGGGGGCTTAACGTGTCTGCGTAGAAAGAGGAGGGACAGATGGCCAACACCCGTCCTTCCTTCTGGTTCTGTCCCCAGCCAGAGGGTTCCAGGTAGTCTTGTCAACCGCCCCTCGGGCCTGATGGTGCTGCTGCTTAATGCCAGGTCGGTCCACAATAAATCTTCCCTCATTGTGGATGAGGGGGCCGACCTGGCTTGCATAACGGAGACCTGGGCGGGAGAAGGGGGGGGATGTCGCCCTCTCTCAAAATGTGCCCGCCCGGGTATCTAGTTCAGTACTGTCCATGCCTGGAGGGGAGGGGGGGTCACTTTGGTTTACCGAGCCTCCATCTCCCTCACGGGTCTTCCAGTCCCTTCGAGACCAGGGCTGGAGTGCCTCTACTTGGTGTTGGGCGACCAAGACAGATTGGGGATTCTGTTGGTGTACTGTGCACCCTTCTGCCCAACAGTCTCCCTGCCTGAGCTGATGGAGATCGTCTCGGACCTGGTGTTGAGGACCCCCAGGATGTTGGTCTTGGGGGACTTCAATCTCCATGCCGAGACTAGTCTGACTGGGGCGGCTCAGGATTTCATGGCCTCCATGATGGCCATGGGGCTGTCTCAACATGTCACAGGCCCGACCCATGAACGTGGACACACTCTGGACCTGGTTTTCTCGACAGGGCAGGAAGAGGGTGGTCTGAGAGTGAGGAATTTATGTCTGACACCCCTGTCATGGTCAGATCACTTCCTTGTGAGGTTTGTGCTCAAGAGCGGCCTCTCCCTCTGTAAGGGTGCGGACCCGATTGTGTGGGTCCACCCACGGAGCCGGATGGATCCGGATGGATTCCTAAAGGCCCTGGGGGAGTTTCCGGCTGACAAGACTGGTGCTCCTGTCGAGGCTCTGGTCGAACTGTGGAACAGGGAGATGACCAGGGCTGTTGACACGATCGCTCCTAAGCGTCCTCTCCCGCCAGGCAGAACCCACTCTTCCCCTTGGTATACATCTGAATTGTGGGCGATGAAGCAGGCTGGGAGACGGCTAGAGCGTAGGTGGAGGAGATCACGGGGTGAATCTGACCGAACACACTTAAGAGCCCATTATCGGGCCTATGCTGTGGCGGTGAGGACGGCGAAAAAGAAATTCTTTTCCGTTTCCATTGCCTCCTCAAAATGCCGTCCAGCGGAGCTTTTTCGAGTGGTACAAGGCCTGGTCCGCCCTGGCCCTAAGAAAGATTTGGTTCCACCCTCGAAGGCCCGCTGTGACGACTTTGCCAAGCATTTCAGGGAGAAAATCGCTCAGATTCATCATGAGCTAGACTCTACTAGTGATTCAGAGGCTTCTGGGCAGATACCAATGTCGCCGTCTGGTCCAAAATTAATGGATGAATTTCAGTTGTTGCGGCCTGATGATGTGGACAAGGTGCTTGGATGAGTACGTCCCACCACTTGCCTATTGGACCCTTGCCCATCTTGGTTAATAAACAATGCCAAGCATGGGATTGGGATCTGGATCTTGGAAGTGGTTAACGCTTCTCTGAGGGAGGGTCGGGTACCTGCCCCTTTAAAGGAGGCGGTAGTCCGACCGGTCCTGAAGAAAGCGTCACTGGATCCAGAAATGGCCACTAATTATAGACCAGTGGCCAACATACCGTTTCTGGGCAAGGTGTTGGAGCGGGTGGTGGCGGGACAACTCCAAGCACTCTTGGATGAAACTGATTATCTGGACCCATTTCAGTCCGGCTTCAGACCCGGGTACGGTACTGAATCTGCCTTGGTCGCCCTGTATGATGACCTGTGCAGGGAGAAGGACAGGGCGAGTGCATTGGTTCTTCCGGACCTCTCAGCGGCTTTCAATACCATCGACCATGGTATCCTTCTGGATAAGCTAGCAGGATCGGGGGTCGGAGGCACTGCCTTGCAGTGGTTCTGCTCCTATCTCAATGGCCGATTCCAGAAGGTGGTGCTGGGAGACTATGGCTCTGCACCGTGGCAGCTATGCCATGGAGTACCGCAGGGGTCCATTTTGTCCCTTTTGCTGTTTAACGTCTACATGAAAGCGCTGGGAGAGGTCATCAGGAGGTGTGGACTGCGGAATCATCAGTACGCTGATGATACCCAGCTCTACCTCTTTTTCAACTAACCCAGGTGAGGCAGTGGCTGTGCTGAACCGGTGCCTGGCCGAGGTAATGGGCTGGATGAGGGCCAATAAACTGAAGCTCAATCCAGACAAGACGGAGGTCCTGTTGGTTGGAGGATCGGGCTTCGGGGAGGGTGAATTGAACCTAGTCCTGAATGGGGCTGCACTCCCTCTTAGGGACAAGGTTCGCAGCTTGGGAGTGCTCCTCGACCCAGAGCTTTCACTGGAAGCTCAGGTGACAGCGGTGGTGAGGAGCGCTTTCTTTCAGCTTCGGCTGATCCATCAGCTGCGCCCCTACCTGGAGTACGACTGCCTGGCGACAGTGACACACGCGTTGGTGACTTCCCGACTTGACTTCTGTAACGCGCTCTATGTGGGGCTACCCTTGAAGATGGTCCAGATACTTCAATTGGTTCAAAATAGAGCTGCCAGGCTGCTGACGGGGACTGGGTGTTATGTTCACATGACTCCAGTCCTCCGTCAGCTTCACTGGCTTCCCATTGAAGTCCGGGCCCAATTCGAGGTGTTGGTGATGACCTATAAAGCCCTAAACGGCTTGGGACCTGGTTACCTGAAGGAGCGCTTACGTCCATATATGCCCTCCCGCCCCTTGAGATCTGTGGGAGAGGCCCTTCTCTGGGAACCCTCCGTGAAGGAAATTAGGAGGGTAAGTACTCGGAGGAGGGCTTTCTCTGCGGTGGCGCCCAATCTATGGAATGCGCTCCCCAGAGAGGTCCGCCTGGCACCGTCGTTATTTGTTTTTCGGCGCCAGGCAAAGACCTTTTTATTCAAATGTCATTTTAATTGTTAATAGTATTTATTCATTTTATTCTTTGGCCAGGGCGACTTAATTTATACTGTTAATTTATATTATTCTATGGAAGTTTATTTATGGATGTGAGCCACCCCGAGGCTTCGGTGAATGGGGCGGCATAGAAGTCTCCTAAATAAATAAATAAATAAATAAATATACACATAGATATAGCTTCACACATACACATCAGCAAACTATTGCCTTGAATACCCTAGAATAGGGATGGGCTTCAGAAGCTTTGGTGGCAATTTCTGACCCCCTGAAACCCACTGCACGGGCAGACATATTCTCCGTAAAATCACTACCAACATTTTGCAGCAGTTTGTGATGCAAAAAGCAGGGAACATACATCTTGCTTTACTATAAAACCACACTTCTTGACACTCTGAGGTAGTGCAAGTTTGCACCAAATTGCTGCTTTTCTGCCACCACTGAATTGCCACTGATGAACATTGTGGTGAATTGAAAGAAGCCATAATAAAAGCTGGAGGTGCAAATGGACCATGTTTTGCCCACCCCTGTCCTAAACAGACTAATCAAATGGGCATGTTTAAGCAACTTAATTAACCAATAGGGAAAATAGGAAAACAACAACAACAGACCAGTTGGAAAACTTCATACAATGATGGCCCAGAAATAGTGCAACAAGCATCAGTCAGACATTTCCATGGTCTCAAATTTTCTTAAAAAACAAAACAAAACATGCACCCATCATTAAAAGTCATCTGCAGAAGTAGAGACAAGCAGCATGAGCTCATAAACCCAAGGATGAAAGAGAAGGAAAAAGACGCGTGTAAGCATATTATATTATTATATTATATTATATTCCACCAAGGTTTAGGGGATGGTTGGAAAGATAAAATTGTTATTTTCCCCCCAAGACCATATCTTACAGGAGGATCCAGTAATATGTGATCCAACCATAAAGCTTCTAGTTCCAGAGGGTAACTGACTGGCTACATAATTTAGCAGATTCCACCATGGAGCAGGACATAAGGGGGTATGATGAGAAAAGCAGTCTTCAAATCATCCCTGACAATACTGACAAGGAACCTTACCTCCTAATATTTTAAATAATCAATCTGCTGATTTTCAACTGTCTTTAGTATTCCAAATTAGGACATACCCACTAACACTGATATTACTCCAAGTCACCTGAAAAAGAAGCAGCTAAACTCAATAACCCTACTGGTAGAGACATTCAGAATTTACCTGTCATTTTTTGGCCTACCCACTTGCTTACAGCTAATGAGATTCCCCTCTGGATCTTATCCAAATCTTAGTGGCTCTAAACCTTATCTCATTCACAGACTGACTCCACTGACTAGAACTGAGATTGGTTCCAAAAGGCATTCCACCTTTCCCACTAGTAATAGTGCCTAGATAATTTGTGCAAACAACCTTGAGAGATACAAATAAAAGCTCCAAAGAGTCTGGATAATCCCCATTCAAGAGGTTTAATCCCCTCCTTCCCCATCCCCAAGGACAGAAAAATCTGCCAATGTCCCATGCCTGAGGCAAAAGCTCAAAAGGCCTTGCATTTCCCTCTCAGTAAAATATAAGGGGCTTCTGTC